CTCTCTCTCTCTCTCTCTCTCTCTCTCTCTCTCTCTCTCTCTCTCTCTCTCTGTAATATATTTTATAGTTTTATCTACAATCTTCTATAAAACAATTACTTTACATCAGTTGTAATTTCTTTAGTTCAGGGTAGCCAATCATGTTCTATATATTAATTCAATTCACTCCAATCCATATTGTACCTATAATCCAAACACAAAGTTATATCGCATTCTACATCAACTTAGAAAGAAGATTTCATTAGTCTTCGTAATGTCAAATTTGATTTTATAATATCCTGTTAGTAACAATTATGATTCTAATTTTGTAATTTTATGTTTGCGATATGATCCTGCATTAATTACGCGCACTTAATTATGCTCTTAAGTGTAGTTTATTATCGATAAAATTCCTGCATGCATTCCACTGTTTTCTTAACTTACTTAATGGTACAATGTTGGAGTGGGCTGCGATCTAATTGCGCTATGTGTGTAATCTATTTCCACTATTCAACTCTGGAGCATATATCTTTCTTTCTTTCTTCTTAAAAACAATTATTTTTTTATATTGGAAAATGCTAAAAAATTAATTTAACATTCTCTGTCATGTTTTCAGCAGTAATTTATATTTATTTTTAAACAATGAATTTGTACAGTATGAATTTGCTTGGTGTCTAAAAAATAACTTTATCAATTATCAATTATCATTAAACCAACTAAGTATTAATATCGAATAAATTATTAATAAAATAATCAATTTGCATAAGCTAGATATATAGAAATTTGTATACAAATATGCAAATTACAGCCAAAAACAAATAATACAAATTGTTAATTTTCTCACACACACACACACACACACACACGCGCGCGCGCGCGCGCGCACACACACACACATCAAATTAGCGTTTTGCTAAATGTCCAATAATACTCCATATGAACAGTACAATAGATAATAGCATTTTATTTAGATTTTATACATTGGATGGCAGCCAGCGGTGTACCAGAATTAATAATTATTTCACGATTCCAAATTTGGTGCTAATTAATGAAGTTATACTGATTTCGCATACATGACAGAAAATATATTAAAAGCATAAGGTACGATAATATATAAAGTTTAATGAAATAATATCTTTTAAGATCCTTATTCAATAATTAAAAATCAAGAAATAAAAAAAGGAGATAACATTATTAGCGTCATTATTTGACGTAGTTCTAAGTTAACAATAATCGAAGAAGTTTATATATTAATATTCAATAAATCCAGGTCCCGTACCTTTGCTTGCTATTTCTTAACATCGATTTTCGATTGCGATAGAATATGTAAAAATGCTGCTCAAATAATGAACGAATCAACAAATATTCATTGTGTCGGTATACTCTTATACAAAAAAAAAAAGATACCGCCACTTTCATAAACAACTCTTGGATATATAATGAAATAGTTTTTTCTCTCTTTCTTTCTCGTAATGGACAATCAATAGTATGGATTTTTTACATGCCTAACTCGTAGTCACTTTGAGTAACACGGGTGATGAGGCATGGTTGTTAAAGTACAGACTTGCGCCCTGAAAGCTATTAGATCTTGATGCAAGCGTCGGATTCTGATTAATTCCGGTCATACCATTGTCGGCTTCGGAATCACTATACTCATCATCTTGCTTGCCCCGCAACACATACTTGAATGACTCGTATCTATCGTGTAAATCAGAAACATGTTATGCGACACGATATAAAGAGAGACGATGAATATGATATAATCACAAAAAAAGCAATAAAAAGAAATACAAAGTCAATTGACTTACATCACCCAACAGATAGCGGTGGCTGGTGCTTGGAATAAGACACGTGCACGTAATCCACGGAAGTATCCCTGTATTCCGCCGAACCTGTAGACTTGCTTAAATGCATCTATCATGCCTTGAGCGTGCACACCATCCTGCTGTGTGTTCAACACTGTCTTGCAAACATCCAGAGGGGTCGTCACGGCAGCCGCAATTGCACCTGCTGCTGCACCTAGTTTCAGTAAAAAACCAAGACGATTGAAACTTTATTCAACTACATTTTTTCGCATCAAAATACGCTTATTTTACTCAAGATTTAATACTTCAGAATAATAATAATAAATTAATTTGATTTTTTACATAGTTTTTACAACATAACATTATATCTTTTTTAATAGTATTAGAAACCTACAGCAGAAAATCAATATTATTGATAATTAAATGACTCACCCGATCCAATATGTGCTATTGGATTGTAAACGTGTTCTGGATTTGTAATGGATTGTACAAATTCATAAGAGATAAAATGAATACTTTGAAAAGGCACATTCATAGCCAATTGGGTTGTGTAACTCCTGTAGAATGCAAATATCCCTTCTTTCTGGTACACATGTTGTATACAATTTAATACGTTCCTATAAGGGGAATTATACATCTGCAATCGTTG